ATGGAATACGTGACGAAAGTAAAATGCCAAACGATTTTTTTCAATGGAATGTTAGCAGAACTGGCCTATATTATTCCATTATTATTATATAAAATAATGACAAAAAAGATAGCACTAATATGTGGCGAAAATTTTAACGGTTTTCAGAATAAAGCAATGACTGAATAAAATTGCTTTTTCGTGACGCATAAATTTAAAATGCCTCAATTCGATTTTTTGCAAGCATTTTAAAACAAGTTATGTCAATGTAGCTCTAAGCTTTTTAGCATTTAAAGGGCTAATGTGTAATGTGTGCATAAGACAGTTTCCCAGGCTTCCCTTCCCTTAGGCACATAGCCCTCGAGTGCTTTGCTATAAATCAAACAAAACAAACCATTTAAAGGGCCACATGGTTTGTTTATATTTTGCATTTCAGCAGTTTCTTGTAGCCAGTCCTCATATATATAGTTATCCTTGATAGCAAAGTTGACTTATTGGCATAACTACTTTTTTTATTTATTAATTCAAAAAATAAGTCTATACGATTCCAAGGCAATCTCAATTAAGATGTCATAGAAATGGAATTTTCCCGCTTGTGTGTATGATTTTGCTGAAATATCCAGGTGTGATTTCAAGCAGTTCTGATTAATTGTGTAAACATTATATCTGTATAAAACGGATGTGTTCCTGACATAAGAACGTTTTAAAATGAAACTTGAAATCGTGTGAAAATTTATATCCCTGATTTTGCATTGTTTCAAATAGGGTTATTATGATAATTTATTTTGAGCTTCATCTGATATTTTCCCTTCCCGAAGGGCCTAAATTGGGCCCTGCTCCGGTACTTAGTAGTTTCTAGGTGAAACTGTACACCCAACCAAAGCATATCCTAGCTTCATATACGAAGAGCTCTAGTACTTTGTTGTTTAATTTAATTGCAGTATTAGTAATTACTTTAATTTCATTGCCACTTCTCGAACCACTTAAATAAAAATGCATTAATTCATGTGATATCTAATTAAAAATACTAAATATTTTTACAGAAGTACATTGCACATATTTTCACTTTTTAAATATGCAGAAAATATGTAACGTTCTCATGTTAGTATAAATGTATATTCATTTAGTACCATGTAAAAGTTTTCGATGTTTCACCTGACCATTTCTATTGATAAACTTTAACCATATCAAACTTTAGAGTGGGAAAAAACCCTTTTGGGCGACTCTTAAAATCTGAGCCTTCCAATTATTATCATCATTATTTTATTTATGTATTATTTACCTCTTCTATCATAGGGCACCACAACTTTTAATTTTACATATTAAGCCCTGTCTTAGAGTATTTAAATGCAGTTTATTAGTTATTTATTTACAATTCTGCAGTATTAGTAGTATTTTAAATACATTTTAATGCTTATTTTTTCAGTGCCTCAGTGGCTTTAGTTTTGAAATATCAGCAAATATAATTAATGTCTTCCTGTTGTTCAATTAGTAAATGTGCTATTTCGATGACATTTAGATCGTCTGTATAGGAATTCTTTGTGAGATTTCCGTCCGACAATATTTACGGCAAAATATAAGAAAAAGTGTGCAATACTTTTAAAAGTTCTGATGAGATGATAAAGCTAGCGGAACTTCTATCCTATTACAATATGTTTTTTCCAAGACTTTATAATGGAAACCCGTAACTGTATGTTAGAATATGCATACTAAATATTTATTACATTTATAGTATATTTTTCAAATCGTTAATTCCGATTTTCTATATTTTTTATTCGGAGTTATAAAAATTTATCTATAAATAAAAACATATTCAAAATTCAGATTTTCAACAGTGTTGAGTTAGAGTTATGATGACTTATCTATAAATAGAAATATATGCAAAATAATTGCCTCTTAATGGCTTCCATATCAGCATGGAATGCGGTGACTGATGCGCAGACGATTACCGGAAATATGTCAATCTAAAAGCAGAGACAAGATATTGAAGTCGCTTGTTCGTCCAACCGCATCCAAATACCTGTCACTTCGTTCCAAGCCATGGAACAGCCATTCAGCGCCTGCGCATAAACCACAAAACAAGCCATGAGTCTTGATAAAAATAAAAACAAGGTATGGAAAAAAAAATCTTCCTCATTCGGATTCTGAAAGCTTGCCATGTTGGTATTCTAAACGCTCGGTATCATCATTTATACAAGAAAGATGAGTAAAAACCGGATTAAGATTAGAGAGCGCCATCTCAAACTCAAGATTGCATGCTGAGAAAGCATCAAAAAAGCGAATGAAGAAACAGAATTAAAAAGAACACAAAAAAGGAAACTTTTAAAAAAAAAAAAAAAAAAGTTTACAATGCTATATACGATGCGATTCGCCTTTGCTTATATAAAACTGTGCTTAATGTTTTTAAGAAATCTCTTTTCACAGACAGTTTAGCTGAAAAAACAATTTTTTTTGCTCATACCATACATTCTTTTTCTTTTTTGATTTATTTTCTTTGAGAACCTCCACATGCAAATGTCATACATTACAAGTATTTTTCTTCTCTCCATAACCCCCTTAATTTATTTTAGTGTTAATCTGAATTAATATTATGGGCAGTTATATTTTTAATTATAAATCTGCATCTATTAAAAACTATATATATGTATATGTACATATATTTTGTTATCTGTTCACTAAATATGCAAATTAAGTGCTTATTAAAATTTGTCATTTCTCTGGATTTCATTAGTTTTTTACTAGTACAAAGTAAAGAATGTATTGTAATCTCAAAAAATTCCTGCTACCATATTTTAACAGCTATTGAATGCAATTTAACGACGTCTTTCCTTGACATCTGTACGTAAGGACAGAATAAGAAATTATGTGGTGTACACACCAGCTTTTTATTATTTGAATTAATTGCAACTGATTATTTTCTAAATACCAGAAAAACTGATGTAGATGGCCAAAGAAAACTATATATGCACTCGAAATGGCAATTTTTCCCGATCTAGCTTTTGCGACTTTAAGTGCCATCTAATGTTTAGAATTTGTAAGCGGAATCGTAGAATATCGGAGACAAAAGCGAAATTTGAATTTTCATATACGAACTAGACTAGACGATCAGGTACAATAACTCCGGTAAACTTTGACAAAAGATTTAATAAGTTTGTCATTTAACTCTTTGCGGGGCAGGAAAAGCAATTAACGTTTTCAGCAAAACTCTTGTTTTATTTACTACATCAGGTGTTACAATGAAATTTGTTTGCGACAGTTACACATATTTTGTCCAAGACGCTTGCAAAAATTCATCACTGCCCGCAGAACACATCCCTACAAATCGGTCTCTATAGTACTCATGGAAACAGTTTTTCTTTTTCAAGCAGAGTGCAGTTTTGCATGTGCTGCATTTCCACACTGTTCTTACAGGCTTTTTCTTATTGCTGCAGAGTGCTTTGTGATGTTGTCTTCGATGGCTGATGCTTATTTTCTTGAATATTTTCTTGAAGACGAATTGCTGCATCATGGATCAAGGAGCATGCTTATGCTCCTTGATTGGCTTATGTTTCTTGATTGCCATCTAGTGGCCTATAAGGGAACTTCAGAAACGGTCAGTCTTGAAAACCACTCACATGAGTGAGTAAGACGTTCAATAGAAAAGGTGGTTTACTGTCGGCAACCACCGCCCTTTAACTCTCTGAAGGGCGGTGGATGACCATAAATAGCATAAGTTGAGAAGACGCCTTTCGTGCGATAATATATAACACTCCTGCAATTAATGTCAACGAAAGGATTGCAGAATAACGTATCTTTGACACGCGCTAAGAAGTCAACATTTAATCAGAGCGGTCCAGATTGATGTATGCAGCAAAGTACACGGTTTGTCCGATCTTCGGGAATTCGGACACTGGTCTCATAATGACCTGAAGTGTGTTGTTAGTTTGACAACACGTGTTTCTATTTTCGCACTATTTCGGAAAGCTGGAAGGATCAGTAAATGAGAGAATCATGGGTCCTGTATGTCAGAAGAAGACTGTATAGACTGCTGTTGGTTCCTTAAACATTTACAAATCTTTGACACCAAGCGCGTATCGTTTCTGACAAGTTAACCCATTCACGTTCTGCATTTATTCTTTCTTAATAGGATAATAGCCTAGAGATGTCAAATTATGGTTAGAAGAAAACTCGTACGAGTTCAGAGTTTTGCCCCCACAAGATTCAACATTGTTGAATCCATCCAAGGTGCCACCAAACTTCATTTTGTGGCATATATAAATCCTACACCTCCGAATATACCACAAATGCAAACCACTCTGCTGGAAATATGATGCTAGTCAGTAGCACGATACATCCGCCATTTCGTGAATTCCATTGAGTGTTCGTGTTTCTGCAGTTCTGTGCTCACATGAAGGATTTGCTAAGTATTAAACTATTTCTTCTGCCATTTCCAAGCATCTTATCGGACAACATAATAATATAAGATACAAGATGTAGCAGAAAAGCGGTTGAGGTTATTGGCTAGAAAATTTAACATTGATAACTGTATGAATATTCTAACAACTCTGATTATCCGCTAGTGCATGGTTGTATCTCTTATTGATATTTGTGAGAAGAGCAGCAGAAAATTTTTAAACAGTGTTATAAACGATCAAATTTCATAAATTTTAACGCGAGAAGTGCTGGAAAGTAGCCCAAGTTATGGAATGGGTTATTAAGGAAAATACAAGTTTTCAAGTAGTGTTATCAAATGTCGGGGGAAAATGCGGAAAACAAACCATGCGATGAAAATCCTTCGATTTACAGAAATAGGGAAAAATAGTTTGTTTTTAATTTTATTTTTCTTATACTCTTAATTTTTTTTCAAAAACTTTTTGGAATTTTAACGGTAAACCCTTTGAGATGTTAAAACTACTTTTTTTTTTTTTTTTAAATCTTCTGTTTTTATTCATTCAGTTTTTATATTTCCAGATTGTAGTTTATTATGTAAGTAATATCTTGCAGTGACTCCATATAACCATATTTCTTTTCGCCTATCTTAGGGGAAGCAATCCATTTGGCCAAGGATTTTGGGTATGTCTGCGATACAGAATTTCCGTCCAGGCAAGTAGCCGAGTATCTCTCAAGGAACTACACTGACCCGTCCATAGTCTATAAAAGGAAACAAGAGCTCATAGATACAAGGTAATTTATTTCATTAGCATTTTAAATTTTTAATAAAGAAAAATTAGAGATGTATTTAATTCGTACCTTAGAAGGTTAGGCACTTAGCAAGCTTAGAAGGTTAGGCACTTAGATATTTATCAAATATATTATGTACAGATCAAAAAGCAAAGCACAGCTGTATTCGGGAAGCCTAGTGGAAACCGGAAATATTATTATAATTCCTTTTCCAAAGTGTAGAATATCTCATAAGGATTGCACTATTTTATATATCTTTTAAAGAACGGAGAGATTTTTTCTGTTTCAAGAAAACGAATTAAAATAGGCTTTTAAATTATGTCGGTGTGCTTTAAAAGGGTACTTTAAAAGATGCTTTGAAGGGTAGTATCCAAATTAAAATTTAAAGAGCTATTTATAATTAAGTTAGTAATTTGTTAATGACTTTTTCATATTTTATACCTTACATACATTTATAATGACTTGCCAAAAAATCGACTCGTTTTAGAAGAGGCAAACTCTAGATTTCCATGGTTCTCAAAATTAACTTTCTAGAGCAGTATTTTATGTAACATTTACTAATAAGTCATTCGTATTTTAAAGGATCATTTATCAGTACTAACTGCCTAAAACAGGTTTTCTTTAAACGAAAATATATATAATGATTTTAAACAGTCATTTCACGGGTCGAGCTGTTAACAATAATAGTTAATATGAAGAACTCTTTTATTGGTTTTAAACTGCTTAGTTTGTTAGCCTCTAACAAACAGTGAACTTGAAAAAAAAAATTAAGCATGTGTCGAATGGCAGTGCGAAGATAAAAATGTTTTATTTCTGGCGTTCGTTACACATTTCTTTTAAGTCGCCGAGTTTATTAACTAAAATTTATAGATATCTTATGTTCTGCCGAGTGGCAGTACATTGCGTATAAATATCTGAGGTCATTAATCAAAATTTCATTATATTCGCACAAAATATAAAAGAAATAAAAATTCGAAGTGCATATACTAGATTTACTTTAGCAATTATAGAAGGGAAAGGATTATTTCAAAAGTTAAAGTAGATAAACACTAAATATGGAACTCTAATTAGCTAAGAAGGGCTATTAATTTAGTTTTGGCATTTTGCGGCCTTCACTATAAACGGCTTTTCACTTTTCAAATTGTTGCCACCAAATATTAGAGCCCGGTGTTATATTTAAAGAAATTAAATAATAAAGAATCTGCATAAATGTATGTATGTTTCTCGCACTGTGATAAAGCAACGGTACCTAAAACCATCAAATTTTGAATAACCTAATCCTCCACCTGAATATGGGCATGTGGAAGCCCGAATTCGGAATTTGTTTTATTATCTGTTTCATATTTTATAAAGTATTTATGAGTTTTTCATTAAGAAACTCATAGATTTCAAAACGAGCAATGGCAACAGTGTACGAGGAGGGAAAAAATGATTTCCAGCGAGGACTGTATCCGGAAATTCTAAAGGATATGCTCTTTTTAAATTATTTTGTGATGCTGCTGTTATATTGAATTTTATGGTTTAAGGGCGAAGAGCATGATATTAAATAAATAAAGGTAACACATAAAATGTTTAAAGAAGCTCCTTTGGCCATATAATATTAAATCTGAAAACTTTCAGATTTATTTTATTGAAAAAATTAAGAAAATTGTCGAGTGACACTAGTGATCTAAATCCACTGAAATTGCTATGATCGCTTTCTTATTTTAATGAAGCTTCTGTCTGATGTCCATTGTTTCAAAAGTTTAATTGGTAAGGCTTAAGTTTTACCGTCTCTATAAAATAGCATATTTCTTCAACTTTTGAAAACTGAATAGGGGCAGGTTTTGCAATGACTTTATCATTGCTTTTTTCCTTAAGGGAAAGCTTATTAAATTTCTTGAAACCGAATCTGCATGAAATTAACATTTAGAAATGTATCTAAACATTTGGATCTACACATTTTAAAATTTGCATTAAGTTTTCAAATTAAAAAAAAATTTTATTTCACAAGGCTATAATAAACCATTTAAAGCAATAATGTTATGCAATTTTGAACATACTCAAACACTGAACTTTAAACTCTCTCAAACACTAGTAAGACTTTTCTTTGAATAATTTCTACTGCATGCTTTGAAAAGAATTAACAAACTCCATTGCAATCTTAGTTATACTTAGGATAGAATTCAATATGGTTCGTTCTTTTTTTTTTTTTTTTTTTTTTTTTTTTTAAAGTATATTCTTTCAAGCCTCTCTTCTGGAATTTAACACCACATTAAGTGACCTATCTCTAAGGAGAAAATCTTGATTTATTGGATCTCATCACCATACCTTTTATAGTTCAACTACCCCCAGATATTTTACTTCTTCCGCGACATTCTGCATGCTCGAATGCATTTAACAGAACAATTTTGCAAATTCCTTACTATAAATGAATCATAAAACTTTTGAATACCTTTTCTTATATTTTCTTTCCAGAATTTGTCGAAAATATCTAGTAAAAATTTCAATATTTTGAGAACCGTTAGACTGTTACAGAATTGGCTGTTAGTAAATGCATTCGAACAATATATTCAGAATATGTTTTGTGAATATGTTACTTCTGTTACATATTTATTGAAGGTTAGAATTTTTTTAAAATCTATTATTGTTTTCGTTTCACTAAAATCATGTTCGGCACTGGAAATCAAGTTCTTACTAAAAACAAGTTTGCTGCCGAATCACGCTAAATAAGGTTATTTATCTTCCATTTTATAAAACATGATTCTTATAATTTTTATAATACAAGAATTGTGTTTTATAAGATGTGTTAACAATGCGTTAAACTTATTTTATAACGGATGAAAAGTAATGGCAATTTAGTGTAACAAAATGCATAGTTTAAAAACAAGCTGCATTTTTTAATAGTATGTTGAAATAGTTGTTATTAAAGATTCTAATATTATAATGTTAGGTATCTTTGCTACAGAATTTTGTTATGGCTTTCTTGCTTATACTAATGTCTGCAAAATTTAAATAAAATGTCTTGTTGATGCAATTTCTGTAGCAATACATTACAACTGTACATTTTACAGAATTTTGTTATGGCTTTCTTGCTTATACTAATGTCTGCAAAAAATTAAATAAAATGTCTTGTTGATACAATTTCTGTAGCAATACATTACAATTGTACATTTTCCTCCTCATTCATTCCCCCCCCCTTTTTTGTCTGTTTCCTCTATTCTTGAACTTGAATTTTAATGCGATTCTAGGAAAATATATATTACAACTTTTATAAATGTATTGTAATCTCAGCTGAAAATTGCAGGAGTATCGTTTGTTATTCTAAGCTAGATCTATAGTATTTTGAAAATTTTATTGATAAAAATTTTTATCATTTAATAGATGGCAACAGTGATTTGTTTACATTTGAACTCGTGTGTATGTATATATATATATATTGTGGTTTAAAAAACTGCGCTTTGTTGACACTACCAGATAAAATTAGTCCAGATAGCATCAGGTGTTAGCTTGAAATCTAAAGAATAAGACTAGCACGTTAAACACCAAGCCTCAGAAAAGGTCCTCAGAAAAGACTCAGTTCTGACGTGTTTATTTTAACATTCTGAAGAAGTTCTGTTGAAATTTTCATCCATTTCTTGCTAATAAAAGTCAGAAACACGAGCAGGTTGCAGCCAGGTGACAATGCTTACAATCTTTTATTTTCGATGAGTGCCCTTCTCATCAGAATTAAGAAAGAAAGAAAGAAAAAAAAAAAGAAAAGAAACATTTACACAGTTACTTTAACTACACATCTTAATCATATTTCGGAACGCAAGTTATTTTATAGCATAAATTTGGTGAATAAAATACATTTCTAATGCTTTATAATTTATTGATTATAAAATTTCTATTTACTTAACTTATCTAAAATAAAAATCTAATTTTGCTCCATTAAAAATTGCAGTCTCCTCTATACATTTCTCTTTATTATTATTATTATTTTTCTTTTTACATTTTATATTCTTCTTTTTAAATATTCAATATATTATACATACTTTTGATATTTTATTATCTTTCTGTTTATATAATTTAACATTCACTAACAAAATGTAGAAACATACATGTTTACATCGAAATTCTTTTAGAATTAATTGCTTTAATTTTATTTAATAATAAAGGGTAGTTTTTATGAGTTGACAACAAAATATTTTTTTTAAACAAGTGGAATGTTTGTGAGATTTTTTTCCTCCTTGATAATACTTTAAAGATTTTATTTTTTGAAAACTTCTTGTAGGTGTTGGATTGGTATGTATAAGTTTACAGCCTCTCCCCTCCCCTAATAAACAGATTTTTCGTAAACTCTTTTACTTCGTTCCCCCTTTCTCTGATATATTAATTCAACCTCTTTTCAGAAGATATACATCTTATCACAGGAGCAATAACAGAAAACTTGTTTCAATAATCCTGAAATAAATCACGCTGTGGGCATAAACCGAAAGTAAACAGTCACCAACGAGTGTTGAGCAGAATTGTTAAGATAGTTACGTCTCGTCGTTGCTCAGGGCTCAAGGTACAGCAATACATCTCAATTACAAATCATACGTCTCTGGGTGAAAAACCGGATCTCGCTCAAATTTTTGATGCTAGTCTCCTTTCGCACTTTCCCCTTTGACGAAGTTAACTCCATTCCAGACGAAATTTATTTATGAGTGTCCCCATTAATTGGCATGCCGGCATCGGGTGGAATTTGTGGACATCCCCCCTTTCTAATTGTGACCTCACCTCACCACTATCTCATTGAAAAGCTTTTAATTCATGTCGCGTCTCTATGCATCGAAATTCCCGGATCTATAAGGACTTGTAATGACAGGGTGGAGTCGAAGCCCAGCCTTCTTCTGCGCCTACCTTGAGTGACGTCATCATAAATCATCTAGTACACATGATGAGCATTATCCAGCTACCAGCGTCCATCTCCAGATTTGTGGTTAGGTGGCTTCTCAACTCATTTTGGTTTTGCGACATGAGGAATTGTCATGGTAAGG